TGCGGTGATGGGGGTTGCTCAATCCCCCAGCGACAGAGTGCGATCCATGGATATTGCACATGCAGCTGGGGGACCTTTGCAGCAAAAGTGAAATCCCTGTGCACAAGGGGTTGTGAAGAATTACAGTTACTGCATGGCAAACACTTTCTTTTTTTCCTGCCCATTTACAAGAAGCAAGTCCCCAAATGAATAGACTAACTGTTTGAGAAGATCGTTTCAATCACTCGTGACACATTTACTCCCAAGAACTCAATTTTCTTACTTTACAGCATCTATTTGGAGTGTATGTTATAATGGCAGTCTCAGTCCCGGTTACCAAACATTGATTTATTGTGTGGGTTGTTTCTGCATTATTGATGAACTATGAAAAAGACAGTGTGACTTATAGCAATGCCGTTTAGCAACTCACTCGCTAAAGTGTCTGGAGAGGAAGTAACTGAGAACTTTAAAGAGGTGTTCCTCTTTCTTTCGTGGAGACAGAAAAGGACCTGAAAGGGGTAAAGCACACTTAACAACATTTCTTCTTTTTCCATAGTCCCCTTTTATTCCCTCTTTCATGGATTTTAATTTTATATTATTTTTTATGACATTAAAATGCCTTAAATGGCTGACAATATGTGGATTGTCTGTTAGGAGCATTGTCCAGCTGATTCTCCTCACTTCATGGCAACGTTCAAACAGTTAGGGTCTTAATGAGGCTGAAAATTGTAGCCCAAATAAGTCGATTAGTTTGATTATCTTCCAGAACGACTATGGCACTAACGCAGGAGTACCTTTAAGCATATACTTGAACTCATCGCTGTATTTCTGGGCAACACGCTGCTTTGAGTGAGGTGTAAACTCACAGTTAAAGTTTTCTGAATATGGATGGTTTCTTGTACTACTTCTTTGCCTGTATGAAAAGTACAAGTATTTCTGCTTTCTCACATATAGCATTCTGTTGTTTCAATTTAGTTGCTCGCATTCATGAATTATTCAAATAAGACCTGAAACATTATTTACTTAAAATTTAAAAATATCACTTAAAATTGCACAATATTTTTGAAATGGGAAGTAAATTAGATACTCTTACTTAACAGAATATGAAAGATTAAACTGCATCAGTACCATAGTCTAAACTGGGCTAATAGGAACCTTTTGTTTCTCATCTTTTCAGAAAACTCTTACCTTCTGGTAAAAATATATATAAATTTTTTTTTACTGAGGTGGCGTCATGCAACTGCGGAACATTCATCCTCAGAAATAAAGAACTAATTAGGGCCAATTGCCAGATACCAAGAGTATACATTCCAGAGTCACAGTAGCAAGAATTCTATGAAAATTATTGTGCGATTTAAGTAACCATAGTACAGTTGCATTGAAATTATTCTGCAAGATACTGGCTAGTTGCCAGTGCAACCTGTCTGTCCAAGCTGAGGAAGGAACTCATGAATACTTCATTTCTTTGTGAGAGAAACACAAAAACAAACATAATGGAAAAGTAAATAGCAGATTTTTAGTCACATGGATTTTAGTCTTACTTTTTCTCAGGACTAAACATAAAGCTCCCAAAAATAAAAAAGTCACTTATTTGAATCATGATTTTACCTATATGATTTAGAACTTAACCGAAACACTAAAAAATTGAATTTGTTAATACTGTAGCTCTAAAAATGGTACATGAATGTTATTTCACGTGACTAAGAGAAAAATCAGAAAAGAAAAAGATTCTTAAACATATTGGATATCTAAATCACTGCGGAAAATTAAACATCCTAGGCCAAATTCATCTTTGCAGGAACTTAATGGAACAGAAATGAATAACGAATTAATTAGCCTTCCTGAGTTTCATAGCTACTTAAGTACAACTTACTATTTTACTTTAAATATTATCTTCAGTCATTTACATTTTTGGTGTATCTTTCATAGTGATATAGTTAGTACAGCTATATAGAGCTATATAGCAAATTTAGAAATCTTATTACCAAATATACTTTTAGCCTTGTGTGTGTATTTCCCAAGAAACAAATGTAACATACGGAACCCTTTAAAAAGATAAGGCTTGTAGAAAGTTTGAACTTTTTAAAAACTTTTGGAAGAATATTATTCTCACTTCAGCTTGGATAAATTTATTCTACGTAATGTTTTAGGCGTCTTAATCCTAACTCTTAGACCAGTTTTAGCCCTGCAACAGACCTAATCCAAACCACCAGACCATGAATTAAATGTTGTGAACAATTCTTGCTGTTATTGCCCCAAACCTTTTCCTAAACTTTCACTCCTACCCTGCGTCTTTTAGGAGCAGAATTCTAACCCAAACCTTCACCTCAGTGCCAGCTGGATCCCAAGACCTGGATCATATCAGAAAGGGCCACTCTCAGTTATTGTCTAAAACATAACTCAGCATTCCTCTTCTCAGCTCCGTCAACAGTCTTCAATTCTACCTTCCACAAGACTAACCCTGGTACTGGATTAGCATTGGCTAAGAAACCACTCTCGCTGCAAAAACTCAATATAGCAAGGAAATTTTAGGACTCATAATTCAAAACTTAGTTTAGCATCCCTTTTAAAGTCAAGCACAAGTGTTTTACCTAATTATTCTGTGATTCTAACATGGTAGCTGTGCTAACCCTAGCCTATATTTAGCCTTGTATTAATATCCCTTCAAGCAGAGACTCTCAATGATGGAAATTATTCTTTGTTGTTATCTAAAGCTTAGCTTAACCCAACTTTTTAAACTCAGTGACTTCTGTTTGACTTACTGCTGTAAATGTCCTACCTGTAAATCTAACACTAACTTTAAATACAATTTTGCATCATTAGGCCATCTCAGCATGGTAACTAACGTAGCAGGGAAGTCACTATTTCACATTGTCCAAAACACAGCTAACCTGCTGTTTTTATCACAGAATCATAGGATAATTTATGTTGGAAGTGACCTCTGAATTTCATCTAGTCTAATGGACGCAAAGATGCGCTGCTCGCTCATGTTCAGCTTGCTGTCCACCAGGACCTTCTCTGCAAAGCAGCTACTCTGCCACTTGTCTCCATCCGGAGCCAATGCAAAGGCTTTTTCCATCCCCAGTGAAGGACTTGGCCTTTATCTGTGCTGAAACTCAGGAGGCTTCCTTCGGCAGAGCAGATCCCTGCTGTAGATGCTGAAGCCCTAACCTTGGCCCCAGCTGTGGCTCAGGCTCCCCTCTCAACACAGCAAATCAATACGACAAAAGTCATTACTGGTTATTACCCACACGTAATTTTCAGTTCAGCCATTTTTCTGTTCCTTCATCCCTAGGGAACGCAAACCTAAATCAACTTTTTTGCTTCAGGTCAGAAGCTTTTCACAGCACAAGAACACAGTATGGTGAAGAAATAATCATTAGTCACCGTGCAAAAATTAACTCAATTTGTCCTTTTTAACTAAACTGTTAATTTTTATTTCATTCAGAAGTCCAAACCCAAGGCAGAATGGAACAAGTTTTGGCCCAAATTTCTGACCAACCTGTGAATTTAATATTATAAAAGCGTCTCTGAGCCTGTAGAAGCCAATCTATAGGTTTCTACACCCTTTTGCATCGTTGCCTTAAATCTGCCCCACCACCCCTTATTTTCCTATAAAGTAAACACAGCAAGAGTCCATTTGAATTACTGTCAAAAACTAGGATAGATATTTCTTTATACAGTGAATCTTTGCACTTTAGAATTATCCTCTTCTTTATATTATCTGAAACTGAATTTCTACTATTACCTTCTTAGTTTATCCTTGAAAAGCTCTTTTAAAATGGGCTATTCTTTTTACAGTTGCTTTCCAAAATAACTTTCTTACAGACATTTGGTATCGAAATCAAGTTAGTTAAATTGATTCTTCTTTTGTAGTGAAGGAAGACAGCTATGGGATGAGAAATGCAAATATTAACAGATATCACATATCCTTCACAGGATTTTTTCCCAGTATGCTTTCCAGTCTGCAATGCTAATGAAAAATAGCAAAAGTGGTTCTACTAAAAACTGAAGATATACAGGTTTTTCTTCCACTCTCAGTTTTCAATATTTCAATATTTAAAACATTACTAATTACTCACTCCACTTCATGGAGAGAAAACTTTAAAACATAAATGTCTCATTGTACAGCTGCAAAATTGTTCTAATTTTAGCTAATTGTGTCTTCATTGTTTAATCCTTTTTCTTTCTTGATGTAAATGGAATACATGCATTTTATTTACCATTACCCTAAAAATATGTGCTATTCTTGCTCTGTTTTTCATATAGAGGAAATAGATTAGATATGTAAAAACCATTGCAATAAAAAGTGACAGCTTCTATTTTATAAAAATAATTATTTATTATTATAAAAATAATTTTTACTGTAGAGTTTAGAAGTTATTTAATAGTATGTGGAACGATGAATACAGAAAATATCTATCTTTTAAAATGATTTGATTAGATAAAAATATAGCTAAATTTTTAATAAATTTAAACTATAATGTGGTGATTATGTTGTCCCTTACCACAATCATCGCATGAAACTGAATTCTGAGACCAGTGTTGCACTCAAAATCTTGTTATGGGCAGGAAAGAGAATATACGAGAAGCCAATAATTTCTTGTTAGTCTAATTGAAATCTTAAGACTAATTACAAGAAACAATTGTTAACAATGATTAGGCTAGCTACAATGGTACTGACAAGCGCAGTCCAAATTATCTAATGAATATGGAAGGAATTCCATTAATAATACAGTTAAAATTGTTGCACAAAACGTTCCTAGCATCTAGCTATTTCTCAGTTGTTAGGCTCTGCCTTACACTTCCATTTAGTCTTGTATTAGATATCACCAGCGTTCCTAAAGAAGAAGATGGGGAGAGATGCAGCAAGCCATCCTTATCCCATGTTCTTTGCCTGGAGAAGCACGATGTTCCTGATGGAGTTTCTTCCTTGTCTTTGCAGGAAGGAGTACAATGTTGTTTCTTTCTCCCCAGTCTAAGGCTCCCCGCTTGCAACTATTTTTCTAACACAGTTATGCCTTGCTCTTTCTTCATTGGTCTCCAGCGCCATGTTACATCCAAACATGCATGGTGCATGGTACTTGTTAGATCTGTCCCATACTTGCTCGTTCCTCTCTCCGTCTTCCCGAAAACCAGTTTGGCCCAGCTCCCAAGCCTCCATTTCTTTTGCCAGCCACTGGCGAGCTCTTCACAGCCCGATGCGCTGCTCGCTCATGTTCAGCTTGCTGTCCACCAGGACCTTCTCTGCAAAGCAGCTACTCTGCCACTTGTCTCCATCCGGAGCCAATGCAAAGGCTTTTTCCATCCCCAGTGAAGGACTTGGCCTTTATCTGTGCTGAAACTCAGGAGGCTTCCTTCGGCAGAGCAGATCCCTGCTGTAGATGCTGAAGCCCTAACCTTGGCCCCAGCTGTGGCTCAGGCTCCCCTCTCAACACAGCAAATCAATACGACAAAAGTCATTACTGGTTATTACCCACACGTAATTTTCAGTTCAGCCATTTTTCTGTTCCTTCATCCCTAGGGAACGCAAACCTAAATCAACTTTTTTGCTTCAGGTCAGAAGCTTTTCACAGCACAAGAACACAGTATGGTGAAGAAATAATCATTAGTCACCGTGCAAAAATTAACTCAATTTGTCCTTTTTAACTAAACTGTTAATTTTTATTTCATTCAGAAGTCCAAACCCAAGGCAGAATGGAACAAGTTTTGGCCCAAATTTCTGACCAACCTGTGAATTTAATATTATAAAAGCGTCTCTGAGCCTGTAGAAGCCAATCTATAGGTTTCTACACCCTTTTGCATCGTTGCCTTAAATCTGCCCCACCACCCCTTATTTTCCTATAAAGTAAACACAGCAAGAGTCCATTTGAATTACTGTCAAAAACTAGGATAGATATTTCTTTATACAGTGAATCTTTGCACTTTAGAATTATCCTCTTCTTTATATTATCTGAAACTGAATTTCTACTATTACCTTCTTAGTTTATCCTTGAAAAGCTCTTTTAAAATGGGCTATTCTTTTTACAGTTGCTTTCCAAAATAACTTTCTTACAGACATTTGGTATCGAAATCAAGTTAGTTAAATTGATTCTTCTTTTGTAGTGAAGGAAGACAGCTATGGGATGAGAAATGCAAATATTAACAGATATCACATATCCTTCACAGGATTTTTTCCCAGTATGCTTTCCAGTCTGCAATGCTAATGAAAAATAGCAAAAGTGGTTCTACTAAAAACTGAAGATATACAGGTTTTTCTTCCACTCTCAGTTTTCAATATTTCAATATTTAAAACATTACTAATTACTCACTCCACTTCATGGAGAGAAAACTTTAAAACATAAATGTCTCATTGTACAGCTGCAAAATTGTTCTAATTTTAGCTAATTGTGTCTTCATTGTTTAATCCTTTTTCTTTCTTGATGTAAATGGAATACATGCATTTTATTTACCATTACCCTAAAAATATGTGCTATTCTTGTTCTGTTTTTCATATAGAGGAAATAGATTAGATATGTAAAAACCATTGCAATAAAAAGTGACAGCTTCTATTTTATAAAAATAATTATTTATTATTATAAAAATAATTTTTACTGTAGAGTTTAGAAGTTATTTAATAGTATGTGGAACGATGAATACAGAAAATATCTATCTTTTAAAATGATTTGATTAGATAAAAATATAGCTAAATTTTTAATAAATTTAAACTATAATGTGGTGATTATGTTGTCCCTTACCACAATCATCGCATGAAACTGAATTCTGAGACCAGTGTTGCACTCAAAATCTTGTTATGGGCAGGAAAGAGAATATACGAGAAGCCAATAATTTCTTGTTAGTCTAATTGAAATCTTAAGACTAATTACAAGAAACAATTGTTAACAATGATTAGGCTAGCTACAATGGTACTGACAAGCGCAGTCCAAATTATCTAATGAATATGGAAGGAATTCCATTAATAATACAGTTAAAATTGTTGCACAAAACGTTCCTAGCATCTAGCTATTTCTCAGTTGTTAGGCTCTGCCTTACACTTCCATTTAGTCTTGTATTAGATATCACCAGCGTTCCTAAAGAAGAAGATGGGGAGAGATGCAGCAAGCCATCCTTATCCCATGTTCTTTGCCTGGAGAAGCACGATGTTCCTGATGGAGTTTCTTCCTTGTCTTTGCAGGAAGGAGTACAATGTTGTTTCTTTCTCCCCAGTCTAAGGCTCCCCGCTTGCAACTATTTTTCTAACACAGTTATGCCTTGCTCTTTCTTCATTGGTCTCCAGCGCCATGTTACATCCAAACATGCATGGTACTTGTTAGATCTGTCCCATACTTGCTCGTTCCTCTCTCCGTCTTCCCGAAAACCAGTTTGGCCCAGCTCCCAAGCCTCCATTTCTTTTGCCAGCCACTGGCGAGCTCTTCACAGCACTGGCGTCTCCAGTGGCGTCCTGCACCCCTCCTCTCCTCCCAGGCCCGCGCTCCTCCACGCTGCGTCCTCTGGCCCCGCTTCCAAGGCCTCTGCTCCTCCACACCGCACCACCGATGCGAGGCTCACAATTATGTCATGCGACGCAGAGTAACTACTTGTTCCTACTAGCTAGAGAAAAAATGATGGGGCTCCCACACACGCATACAAAGACAAGCAAAACTGAAGCTCACTAGGAGGTCACTTGGCCATTAGGAAAATTGCTGTTGCAGCTAAGCAAGCTTAAACATCGCTCCAGGCAGGCCAAGGCAAGGTTAGACAAAACCTGACCTGTTCTGAGGCCTTGCCGAGCTGCTGTGAAACCTGTGGCCTGTCACTAGCAATGGTAGTATTGGGCTGCTGGATCCATTGGGCTACAACAGATCTTTCCTTTCTCGTATCAGTATCTTAACCACTATTTTACGGGATAGGACTTTCTCCTGTGGAGTCCATTTGACTGTCTATAAGGCCCCCTGTTCTCTGTCAGTCTTATATTCCCCTTCTTGCACAGAACGGTTTCAGCATGCAGCCGCTGCTTGCCACTTTCTAAATAGCTTGGTATCTCGCACAGCCCTGACGTGTGGGTTTGCACTTCCCTACTTGGGAAGGAACTGAACATGTTTCAGGGCTCAAATCACTGCACTTGTGTACAGAAGACAGAAGATAAAGCTGCTCTTCACGTTTTACAGGAGAAGAGTGACTCTTGCTCTGTTCTTGAAAGAGTAGCTATACTAGGATAGTGAGCTGGCATGCAATAAAATTTCTCTGTCATGAAGAGCAGTGGGATCTCAAACATAATAACATAATCTTGGTTTTAATATTTCTTATAGGCTAATTCCAGATAGCTCTCTTTTCCGGGCATGTTGGCCTACTTACGCACTGTTTAAGAAGTGCGGACTAATGTAGGCTTTAAAACTCTCCTTTGGGGCAGTATCCTACCATATGGACACTTCAAGATACAATTTTTAGGTACCAAAGTTCTTTTCTGGACCTGCTACTTAAAATTAAGCCCTAACTAAAGTAATGTAATAAGCGTGAAACAACTAGTTCACAGCAAAGTGCTGAAGAATAATCAGCATACAGTTATTATTAGTAGTTCTCTGAATTCCCTTTGTGCTCTTCACTATCTTAAAATTGGAATTGTTCCTGCCTTAAAGAGATTAAATTAGGCTGAGGTTCAACATGTGGATTTTAAAGATAACTGCAGAGGATGGGCAACAAAGAGCACACAGAAAACAAATAATACCTGATAATTACTTCTATTGATAAAATCCGTGAACGGACACAATGCAAAGTAATACATCTAGATTTTACTAAGGGATTTGATATAATTTCTCACCGAATGATGTGTTGATTAAAAATTAGCACTATACAAAATGAATGCAGCACATGCTACAAAGATTGTGACTCAGAAAGTAATTCTAAAGAGCATTTATAATGATATGTTTCAGGATCGGTTCTATTCAGTGTATTTGTCATTTACTGGGAAACTCTACTGACATAACAAAACATAATGGAGACCATTAATAAGGAAAAAAGTAGTTCTATCAAGTGGTTTGAATTTCATGGTAAACTGGGTTCCCTGGAATAATTTTTAACGTGGTTCAATGCAGACGTGTTCTTCTGACGCTCAAAGATAGCAGTCATAATATATGGAGCTCTATTTCAGAGAGCAGCGTTTCAGACGTGGAATTGGAAATAAGATGGATAACAAGCTGAATGCGGTTCACAGTGCAGTATAGAAGGAGAAAGAGAGAGCAGCCCCTTCCCCAAGCAGGCACCGACAAGCCAAGAATGCAGTTTCTGAGAGGCCTTAATGCAATACTGAATAGGAATATGAGTGCCAGACTGAAACTCTGGAGAATTGAATTAATGCCATGGTACTTAAGGCAGCAACATTTTTCCGCATTGACAAACAACATTTTGCACGCGTGAGTTTAAACACTAAGACTTTTAAAGGGAATTGGCAGAAAACAGTTAACAACAAACAAAACTACCATCCCTCTGCCTCCAGCCCTGACCTAGTACTCTCCTGACAGTGCATCCTGAAGGAAATGATCAGCCACAACCCTCCTCCTTTAGTCATGCCCCATTTTTAGCTTGATGTACTCTGCTTCTGTACAAAGAAGTGAGAAAGGAGTTTGTGCTCCAAGCTGCTGAGCTTAGTGACTGCACTTGGCTGCTGGTCTTTCCCCCTTGCTGCTGGCCTGGCCGGTAGCTGCTCTGCTGCCAGCTGTGATCCCTGCCAGCTGTGCTCACTGCTTGCCAGCTGTTCCTCAGTACCACTCACGGGCATGGGCATAGCTCCTGCTGCAGTCTGGAAGCTGCCAGCTGCCCCTGCGTTTTGCTGGATTAAGTTACGTGGCAGAGCCTGCAGTGTTTCAGCTCTTAGAAAAGGCTCAGTGATGCGCGGGTGTCCGATCAAGTCATTGCCACAGAAGGGAGAGTTCCCAAATGTTGCCTTTTTAAACAAACCTCGGTCAATCACTCTTTCTCTGGCATTTCTCTGCATCAATTCTTCCTGCCCTAGGAATTATTGACAGTAATTTTTTAGGATTTCCTAGGCTTTTCACCTCCTTAAACTTTAGCTAATTTTAACAGAAATGCTCTAAATATTACAAAACGTAATGTTGTCCGTTGTAACCAGCAGCTCCCATTATCCTAAGGGTGCCCAGAGGAGGTGCTGCTTACACAAAAGCCTGCTCC